TAGCAAGTGAAATCAGAGAGAGATTAAACATACATGCCAAGTATGTAGTGGGTGATATTTTAATTGCCAGAAAGTGGATTAAACAACCCAGAGTTAATATAAATTTAAGATACAGGATTACAAATATACAAGATGATGAATTAGGAAAACAAATAACATTACAAAATGTAGCAAGGGAAGAAGATAAATTTGTGTTGTTTGAACCTATTGTAGATGCTAATTTTATATATTCGTATTGTGCTACTACTCACTCATCACAGGGAGCAAGTGTAAAAGAAAGCATGACAATACACGAGCATACTTTACCGTTTGCAAGCAGAGAGTTTTTATGGACGGCAATTACAAGGTGCGTTGATTTCAGAAAAGTCAGATTTTTCAAGAATGATGACTTTGATAAACAAATGGATAAAAATATGATAATGCGATATTTCAGGAACAAAGTAGAAAACTACAAGATACAGGACCGGCGCGCCAAAAGAGAAATTAATGAGGAAGAATACATTAGTGCTGAATGGTGTTTATCACAGTTTCGCGCCAGATGCCAAAAGTGTAATACTTCATTTAACTTTGAAACGAAGAAAGGTAAATTATGTAGCAATTTTACTTGTCAGCGCCTTGATAATTCAATCGCTCACCATATAGATAATTCAACTTCATTCTGTGTATATTGTAATGTTTCAGCTCATTAAGATTTTAATATTTTTTCATAATAAAATCTTAGTTTTAGACTAAAAAAGGTTTAAAGAAATAATACCTATATATAGTAGAGAGTAATGAAGGAACAAGAAGTAAATAATTATATCAATAAGAAATGCTATGACTGTTGCCACTTCAAAAAAGAACATATGGAATTATACAAAATGAATTTACCTAATGGAATAGTTAATAATATTATTGATTATGCTGTGGACGAACAAAATTGTAAAATTTGTAAAAATTGGAGGTTTTATCAAGAATTAATCAAATGTCATTTGAACCATAAAAGGTTTCTTAAAACAAATGTTGAAGATGACATTATAATATTTTTAACTGTGTATGAAAGACCACGTTATAGTTATGTTAGAATATTTCTCAAAATCGGTAAGAAAAAGTATGAAATGATTAACCACATATTATGGATGTTGTTGCATCGTAGGAGAGACGGGTCTGATTTAAAAGGAGACATTAAATCATATATTGAAAGCAACAAGTTTAATGTGAAAAATACCGTGAGAGATATCAATATAATTTTTGAACTGATGCATGACAGACGTAAGATATATACACAATTTAATAATCATCAATTAACTTATTATCCTGAATTTAAATTATAAATAATATTATCAATATAATAAATCTTAATTTATTATATGGATAAACAAAAAATAATTAGTGATATTTATTACGATAGAAGCGGTTATGGGTCTAAACAGCGCACACTTCAAGAAAGTAGAGAAAAAGATAAGTCAATAACCAAGGCTGATATAGACGATTTTTTCAATAAAAATATCGAAATCAAAACAAAACCAAGAGGGCAGAATTCATATATACCGCCAAATGCATTTCACGAATTCCAGTTTGATTTATTCTTTATCAATGATATTCCTAATCAGAAAATGAAGGTTGGTGCTTTAATGATAGATGTATTTTCAAAATACATGACTGTAATACCTATTCAAAGCAAAAGTGAAGGTGATGTAGCAATGGCACTGGTTGAAGGATTTAAAAAGATGGGCGGATTTTGTAAATTATTATTTACAGATGATGAAAGCGCATTAAATACAAAATCTATACAAGATTATCTAAAAGAGAAAGGTATAGAACACTACACAACAAGAAACCACGCAGCGTTCAGTGAAGTAGCAATTAAAACGTTCAAAAGAATGCTGTATAACAGAGTTGAAGCAGATGAAAAGAAAGGCAAACAAGATATTGATTGGCGAGACTACATTTTTGAAATTTTATTAACATACAATAATAAATTGAAGCACACAAGCACCGGTTTTACACCAGCACAAGCAAAACTAAAAAAGAATGAATTTGAAGTAAAACTAAATATATCAATGAAAGCAAGACATTCCCGCACATATCCAGATTTAGATGTTGGAGACAAAGTTAAAATCAGAAGGAAAAAAGGAATAGCTGAAAAGCAACAAACCTCACACTGGACTAAAACAACTCATACAATAACTAAAATAGAAACTAAATTAGGACAAAAATATTATTATGTTAGTGATTTTAATAAATCTTTGTTGAGGCATGAAATGTTGAAATTATAGTTTTAGACTAATAAGATACAATTATTAGATTTATTCAATATATTTGTAATTGTTCTTTGTATGGTCTGTTGTTTGGTTTTTTGTGTGGTTTGTTGTTTGGTGGTTTTTTTCGGGACAGGGGGCTTACCCAGACCTCGTTATGGTTTTTGTCTAAAACTGTTTAAAGGAATGACGCCTTACTATGGTAGAGGATGAGTGAAGAAATGAAAACTTGTAAGCAATGTGATAATACTTATTCATCCGATTTGTTTAAGAATAGGATGAAACTTTGTAATTACTGCCGAGAACAAAATAAGATTAAGAATGATGAAACCAAAAGACAATGGAGAATTAACAATCCTGAAAAGGTAAAAGAATACAGACAAAAATATGAAGAAGAGAATATTGATGAAATTAAGGAAAGAAAAAAGAAATGGAGAGAAAGCGAGAAAGGAAAGGCAAAAGTACAAGACTACCGGCAAAAAGTTCATTATTGCGAATTGTGTGATTATGAAGTTAAAAAAGAAAAGAAGTCTCAACACGAGAAATCTGGAAACCATCAATATTTTTTACAGAAAAGAGTGAATTGTGAAAAATTGGAACGACCGGATAGTAAAGAAATTGTAAATGGTGTGTTGTGGTTTAAATGTTTGAAATGTAAGAAGAAAGAAATTTATTATGCTTGGTGCGACCATGTATCAAGTGAAGGACATATCAATAAATGTTGCGATGTTGATTGAAATGGTTTAAGTTATTCTTTAAAATGAATAACTTGAAGCATTTTATATAGATTTTGGCGAGTGGTTTGATTATATGCTGGTGTGGCGCGGGAGGGTAGCAAATGATGAGATTGCGGTATGCTATCTCTTGCTTGAGGGGGTGACTGTTATGTCCCAAAAAAGTGCTCGCTTTGTGGGGATGTGATCCAAAAAGGCACCCCTGTCCTACATCCACCGCGCACTGCTTGGCTTCCCCCTTTTGGTTTTTTCGGATTGGTAAACCTTCCCATTTAGTTTCCAAAACGACGGGAAGTCCAAATCCAAATCCAAACCACCAATCCAAACCGGCAACTGCCCTCCAACAAACATGAAAGTGCGGAAGACTGTCGTTTTTGGAAATGATCGAGTTTGCTGGTGGCTACGCAAGCCCGACCTTTCGTGTTTCCTAACATTATATTTAAAAAAAAGGATCCCCAGCTTGAAACTTAGTCGCCAAGATTTCCGAAACTGCTACACTTATGCATGTTGTGATGCCTTCAGACTGAGGGCTGAGATCGGTGCCGATACCTTCAGTTTGGCAAGGCCACCAAGTCTTGCCATTCCAAGTACAGTACAGCCTTTCTCCATCTTTCTCCATTCTCACTACCCAACAAAATATGGGCACCCAGCTGAAATCCTCCAGTGCGTCTTGGAACCCAATCTCAGTTGAGTTTCCTTTGGGTTAGACCAGACATCCAGGGACCCCGTAAAAATCGTCTAAGGAATCCAACCCTTTTTTGGATGGTCCACCTTTGGTCTGTTTTCGCGGAGGCAACTTGGAGCTAATCCTATGCCCGATTATCCCAAATGACCTAGGCATTTTGACAACGAACCTTATACTTGGGCTTGTCTCTGAGCGGGGGGAACCCCCGTTTATGTTTTCCATGTGGTCTCCCGGACATGGATTTTCACTAGGACCGGAAAGGGGGACATCGCAATTCATGTGATTTCCACCAACCACTTTATGAGGGGAATCCAGGGCGCAAAATTCTATGGCCATACGGGTCTGTGTCAGAATGGGTCGACCTCGAGATGAATTCGGTCTTCTTCCTGACTTGATTTTCAAAAGACCCCAAAGTGGCAGGCGTTCTTGTTGGTTTCCATTTCAACCAACCCCGAAAAGGGTCCCCGAACAAAAAGAAGAACCGGAGCTCCAAGACCCAGTGCCCGCCCAGGCCTCCCGCATGGCAAAGGAAATCCCGCCTGCCGGGGCGCGGCCAGCTGCCGGGCTCGAGCGATGCCGGCATCGTTGGAGGTGCTTTTTTTGAAGAGCATGGCAGGAAATCTGCCAGGGAAACCCGGGAAATCAGCAAACTGGTTGGGAAATTCCATTGGCTTTGAAGGGAATCCCGAAGCGTGTGTTAGGAACATCCCCCGAAACTTGAGGTGGGTCTGAGGGCTTTGGTTGCTTCGGCTTTTCGTTTTGCGTTCGGGTGTGCAATGCACAGTATTTATTCCCGTTACACCGCCCTCTCAGCTCGTACGGTGCAACAAAGCCTGGACGCGAGCATCACCGAGGAGCCAAGGAACTACGAGGCGCCCAAACATGTCGCCAAGAAGGAAAGCAGGCTGATAAGTGTAAGCATGGTAGGGAATCCGAAAGATTTCCAGGGACGTGGAATTGCCATGTCGGTCAACCTCAGATCTGGTGCCACAAAGGTTAGTTTGTTGGGGTAACCAAAAGGAAACCATTCGGTGTCTTCTTTGGGGGGGGTCCCTACTTTGAGACATGCCCAGGCTTCAGGAATGCTGTCGCCTGTCTCTGCGACCGGCACTGCCGCTGGTGGCAAATTTTGATACTCCAGAGGCCTCGGCGCGCTGCCCCTCCGTGGTTTCCCCCGTATCTAAGTGGAACTTCTGGTCGATTTTCATCGGGTGGTGCGGCCCCTCTCAGAGGCCTTTTAATCCTTCAGTTTAAATGTAGGTGACATGTTTTGACGTCTTGGGGTTCCCAGATGGAATGGGCGTCAAAGGAATGCTTCGGACGTCCCTCAGCCACTCTGCGCTAAGCGCGGGGCACCGAGTCCCGCAATCCGCCGTTCAGTCTGAACTTCGGCACGGAGACTCCTCGCCATCCCCGAAGCACGAGTTCTTAGGCGTGGCGGTACGTTGTGAGGGCCAAATGTCCCCCTTTTCGGTTGGGTTCAAGGGAAATCTAGAGGCAAACGGCCAGGTTTGGGGTCACCCTATCTTGACACGTAACCGAATAGGAAATGCCCTTTGGGTTGGGTTTTCCCTTGCAGCTTGGCATGGAGCCAAAAAACCCAAGCTTCTTTGAGGAACATGTGTGGTCTTGGACCCCCCATGTTGTGTTCAAACTTCCATCCGTCAGGCTGCAGGGCAGCGATGACCTTCAAAGCCACAAGACATTAGTGTAGCAATCACTGCTCCTGTGATACCAGTCCGGGTCATTCCGGTGACTACTTTGTCAGCTTAAAATAAAAGGGATTGCCTTGGAATCGCCAGTGGCACGCTTGTCGAGAAACTGTACAAACTTGTGCTTGTGGGCTGATGCCTACTTGTACGTGTGGCAGCCTAAAGCACACTTCTCCACAACGCCCCAGAACTGGGCCAAACTTGGGACAATGAAAAAACTGACGGGTTGCTAGTTGTAAAAGGATAGACAAATAAACATGCAAGCTGAGTCCAATGAAAGGGCTTCAACAACCTTCTGGTCAATCTCCACAGGGTTCCCCAACTTTCTTTTTGACCCACTAGCCAAACGGGTAAAAAAACGGAACCCTGATCCATGGCACCCCGGAGAAGCAACACTCGCTTTCTCCTCCTTCCGGAGCTTTCGGCCTCGGGGCTCTCCATAAGATTCGCCCCAAGCGCTCCGGCAACCCGGTGATTCCACGTGATTCCATTTAGCTGCATCTTGGGCGGATCTTCCTTTTGACGGTTGGACCAACATAGCTTCGGATGTCCTATTGGTGTCCCCACCAAATAGCCTTCGCCTCAACAGGACGAGCCACTATGAAGGTGCCGACGCAAGAACTCCGCTGATCGGATTGGGATGCCCGGACTCCCGAGCTTGCGACGGTGCATCCTCCTCCCTGTCCTCCGCGAGGCCTGGCTGTTGCTTGCTCTTTGCTGCTTGGTTTTTCGGGGCTTCCTGCAAAGGCCTAAAAAAGAGGCAGGAAGCCCAGGGCCTCACTTTCTTCCAAAAAATGGCAGCCCAATCCAAGAAGCCAGAGCACGCGCCTCTGGCGGCATGGGCTTTCACCCCAACCCGCACCTCGGGCACGGAAAACTGAAAACTGGAGATATATGTCTTTTTTTGGAGTTGTACCTCTCGTCGTTTCGTTTCTTTTTTGGGGGGGAGTTAAGGGAAATGAAAAGGACAACCACATGTTCGTCTTTTTTGTTTTGGGGGGGAGGAGGGGGGGCCCAGAAAAGGACTCGCCCATATTCCAGTTTCCCTTGAGGGGGGTTTTCCGGGGTAGTGTGGCAATACGACTTTTCCTTAGTGTTCAACCTTACAGGATTCTTTTGGTTAGCTTCAACGGCAACTGGCAGCACTGGGACAAAAAAACACTTTTGGGTGTCGTTGTTGTTAGGGGAATGCCCCAAAATGGTGGGTGTCCGTTTGGTTTCCCCTGGAACACCACGACAATGCGGTACCCACTCCAAAAAGGACACACCCATACCTCTGTTCAGCCTGGCCTTCATCGCTTCTAGGAAGGCATCGGAGGGCTCGTAGGTGCCAAACGACGTCATGCTAGACGTCATGGCGGCCGGGGCCGAAGCGCAGGTCCGATTTCGACGGCAACCCCTTGGACCCGGCTTTGGACCCCCAACCAAAACACCTCAAATTCGTGGGTCGGCGTGGGTCCCCAAAAACACTCAGTGCAGCTCTCGGATGGGAAACTGGTTTGGAGTCATGGAGCCAAGACTGCGGAGAGCTTGCAGCTGCTTTCTGCTGAACCTTTTGGCAGGCCTCTTTCACCTCTTTCAGACGCGCGCTTCTAGGTGATCAGCGGTGGGAATTGCATTGCCAAAATCCCATCACTGAGGGAAACGCAGCGGCCTTAACGACCGGTTCTTGCCAGGGGGCAACGGCTTGCATCTGGGAAGGCTGCATTTCGGGTGGCTCGCCAAACTACCCCTAAAAAGGGTAGGTACCAAGTCCAAAAGCAAGGATGGACGCTTTTGGGAAATCATTCCAAATTGTTCCTCGGGGCTACATATAGAAGTTACTTAACACCTATGGTTTTGGTGGCACCTAACGGCACTGACACTTAAACACCACACATGTTTCCCCCAAAACACGGGGTACTTTGGGAGGTGGAAGCACCCGAAGCCCCCCCCCCCCAACCCAACCACCATGACCCAGGCACGCGCTTTCGCGCGCGCGCGCTTTTTTTATTCGCCGGGCGCCGTGGACTGCGCCGGCTCCTGGCGGTCGGCGCGGGGCGCGGGGGCTGGCCCCATCGACGCGCCGCTCGGAGCTCGGGCCATTTTGTGCATGTCACAAAATAGTGATCCTGAACTGCCATGGGGATATTCGGTGGAAACAACTTCTGGGATGATAGGTAGACATCCAAATTCCGCTCGGAATCATGATCGACGACCACTTCTCAGGTGGTTCCCTGTTATTAGTATTTTATTTATTTATTGATTTATATTATTATTATTATTATTATTATTATTATTATTATTATTATTATTATTATTATTATTATTATTATTATTATTATTACTACTATTATTATTATTATTGTTAGTATGATCTTTATTGTTATCAGCATTATCATTTATTGATTTGTGTCATTGTTATTGGTATTGTTATTGATATTGTTATTGTTAGTGTATTATTATTGGTATTATTATTACGATTAGTATTGTTACTAGTATTATTTGATTAGTATTGTTATTATTGTTATTTGTATTACTATTACTATTATTATGATTACTATTGTTGTCATTATTATTGCTGTTATTATGATTATCATCATTATCGTTACCATTATTATTAATTCGGTGCTGTGACAGCATATGGTCAGACGCTTCAATCAACAAGAGGCCCTTTTGCAATCGCCATCTGTTTGATAGGCTCTCATATATTGTTGTTACACCCCAACAAGCTTTCATGGTTTCTGGCGTCCATGATCGTCTTGGTCTTCCCACCCTTCTGTGGTCGACTGTTCTTGCTGCTGGAGTTCGCCCCTATTATTCATGGCGATGAGCATCTCGAGGTGAGAGAGTCCTTGCGTGGTTTCCTGTTGGCTTCCTGAACAAAAACATCCAAAAGGGGAGCCCGCATTTTCAAAACAGACCCGCATTCTGCGCTTGTTTACGCCGAACCCGCCTGCAGTTTCATTCACTGCGTCGTGAGGATCAAAATTCCGACCACTGCCAACTGAAATGCCACCGAGACGAAAGTCCCCATTTCCTGGCTCCAAGAAGAACCAGAATCAAAGAATAAACATTTCCAATGTCCACGAAGCAAGCTCCAGGAACAAGCACCAAATTTAAACGATGACACTTAGGCAAACAATGGCAACAGTATGAGTTTGTCTCAAAATGGTGGACCTCTAAGAAAGAGTGGTTTCCTTTTGTTTACCTTCAATCCAACCCCAAAAAAAGGGTACCATCCAACAAAACATGCAAATTTATATATATATATATATATGTATTATATACATATACACACACGTGTATATAAAAACATATATACACATTTATATGCATATATGCGCATGTGTATATATATATAATATCTAAGCCCAACCGCAAGGGTCCAAAAGCTCCGGCTCCCAAAAGGCCTGAGGCTGGTCCAGCCGCGTGGTCCCGTTGAGGCGGTTCACGAAGAAGACCTGGCAGCTTCGTCGGTGTGGTGGCCGAATGGTGGTGGGGGTCACCCTCGCGAGCGGAACCTGAACTCTGGATTTGTTTGAGGTTTCTGGGGTGATCCGTTGAAAGGGTTCGAACCCAAGTGGGATCTGGGGGCAGTCTGGGCGCCGCTAGTTTCGTGCGACAACCTTGAACCATGTGCGGCGGTTTTGGGTCTAAAGACCAACTTCCTGGTTCCGGCCAGTAAGGTCCCTGATGTTTTGGAGGGGAATCGCTGGTTTGGATTGGTGGATTGGATTTGCACTTCTCGTTTTGGTTGGAAAAATGGGCAGGCAACCTCGAAACCAATCCCGACCTCCAATAGGAAGCTGAGAAGTCCAGTCCGGGCTGTGCTCGGATCCCCTGCTAAAAGCTTAACTTGTGGGTGAAATGGAAACACCCACTAAACCAGCCAAAACCAACCCAAAACCAACCCAAAACCAACCCAAAACCAACCAAACACCCAAGTGGATGGCTGGGAACCAGCGGTGAGGTCATACCCAACCCCCCCCCCCCCCCCCAATCTCCCCGGGCTCGGGACCCAAACTCCCGAGCTCCCGCCGCCTTTCCGGTGCTTTTGGAGATCACCCGGAGCCAACCTGCAGGCAGCGGCTGCCAGCCTCGCGGTGGAGCAGCTGACTTGGGGTGACCCGATTTTGGACCCACTAGGTTCAAACTGGCTTCATGTTTATTGAAGCCATATTCGTAGAACCAACAGCCACCGTGTTTTGAGCGCCGCTCACTTAGCAAACACTCGTTTTTGACTTTTTCGCGGTTGGTTTTCTTGACCCACCAGCTGCAAACCCGTCTTTTTGGTGGTTTCTGACATGTAGCCACTTCACTCTAAGATGGTATCCACCCAACCAAAGCTACCGGGACTCATGGAATAACAGGTATATACGTGTTGTCTATTGCTATTTAGTGGTTATGTAGTGGCTGTATATCCCATAGAACCCAAACTTCAGGCAGCTTTGGTCGGAACCATGGACGAGCCCGCACCCATCCGGCTGTCTTTTACGGGACCCCACAAATTATGTGTTTCCTTTTAGCTTCCCTCCAAAGCCAGCCAAACAGGCGGTCCTGTTTGACAAACATACCCATCCATGTCCCCGGCCTTTGAAATATTTGTCCTGCACCTTCTGCCATTCCGACACCTGAACACCATGACTGCGAGGCTCGCGCAGGGCGAGACGCGAGGTGCTGAGATGCGGTGCTGAGGTGCAGGCAGTGGCTGGTAACTCATCTTTCAAGAGGTGCAGGCCTGGCAAGATGCGTTGGTTTCTATTTGCCGAAAAAATACTCAGATTAACTCCCCCAAACTTTATGCATTTGTACTTTATCTGTGAAGCCCAAAGCTGGATGAATCAAATTAATACCTATGAATCTCCTGCGACATTGCGCCCTTTTCCCTTCACACATCTGTATGTGCCCCCTGGGCAGCACGAAGCCAAAATGGCTGAGTATATTCACACAGGAGAATCACTGCAATACCATGCACAGCGTTGAGGTCAAGGGCTGGTTTCTATTCACAGCTCATCGAAAATTCTTCTTGACCTCAACCACACTCCAGGTGCCGGAATCCAGCAAGGCATTCAATGGTTCGGCGTTTCCACCTCTCTTGGTGAGAACGTCCGCTATCATAGCCGGATTAGGCACCCACTTCACGCGAGCTCCTGATTCACGTAGATGTTGCTGAATCACCTGCATCTCAATGGCGGTTCGCTTATCCGCCGCATATCCAGAAGTCTCCTTCGTGAGGTGGTCGAAGATCGACCTGGCATCCGTGATCGCCAGGTTCTTCAATTCCTTGGATGAGTTGGTGGATGCATGGGACTCCATTCGCTGGTTCTTCAGGTGGTCCTGCCATTCCTTCATGTCGAAATGTGGGTTCACCAGCTCCTGAAACACCGTCACCGCCCACATCAGCTCGGACAAACCACGGGACATCGCCTGCGTCTCAGCTGCAAGCGTTGAGTTGACTACGCGGTGGATCTTGGAGCTCTTCCAATGCAGCAGATTGCATTTCCCAACCTCGCCGAAGGCTACCTTCTTCTCATAGACCACAATGCAAAAGCCGCCTTGCGATCTGCCGCCTCGCACGTTTGCATAGCTCGCGTCAGAGATGACGCCCCAACACAGCTCGTCCTCCGGGATGTGCTGAATGCGAAGTTCCCGTCCAGCAGTTTCTTTCATCTTCTCGATACACTTGTTCAAATCCACAATATCCCCGACGGTGAGCACCTTGAGGCTTGACGCGACCAGGCTTGCTGTAGCGGCTCCGTCGGGTCGTCCTTCTTTGGCGGCCCAGGTCAAAGCTCCCACTGCCGCACGCGCTGCTTCTCTCTCCTCGCGAGTGGCGGGCTCCTTGAGCATAGACTTACGTCCTCGCTCCAACTCCACTGGGAAGAGACGCTCATTGATGAACTTCTTCATATCGATGAGGAATCCTCCCTTTCCATCGTTCTTCAACCTCCGGCCATTGAACGACACACCATCGGGGGACTCGTCGAGAAAGACAAACTTTCCAAAGGTGAACTTCTGCCTGAGCTGCTCAATGATCTGAAAGTAGGTGTTGTCGCCCATGCACAAAAGGTCGTCTACTTCCACAATCACCAATCCTGAGAGCTCCTTCTCGCAGCCGTTCTCCTTCTTCTCGGTATACAGCTTGAAGGTACATGGGTCGACCTTGGACTGGGTGAATCCCAGTGCCAACAACACCTTCTTCAGACTGCGCCTCCAATGAGCTGGAGCATCTCCCAATCCATAAGCACCCGCCAGGATCTCAATGAGCTGCTCGGGTTTCAGACCTGGAAGACCCCCTCTCGGCTGAGAGGCAAATAGTCGCCCTTCAGCCCTCTTCAATCGCTCTGACTGCATGAACGCATTCTTCAAGTCCCCAACAGCCGTCCTCCACTTCTTGGATGCTGCCAGTTGCATTGCGATGGCAATGTTGCTGGTAGTGACTGTGGGAGCATGTCGATCCAGCAGTAACAGATCTGGATCTCGATCTCCTCGTATGCACCACCTTGATTTCATCGATGGAGGCTGTCCAGGCTGATCCGCAGGCTTCCACCGTCGGACAACTCGTGATGGCAGGATGCGCGCTGAAAGGTTTGCCTCCTCAAGCTGCCTCCGGATTTCCCGCGATTCCTCCACTGAGAGCTCCTTGACGGCCTCGGTGGCACTCACCTTGCTCCATTCTTCTCCATCAGCGACTCGCCACTTCTCCCAGTCCTCCGGCGTGATCTCATCCTCCCGAACCTCGTCAGAGCCCTTCTTCACCAAGTAGAGCAGCTCGTCGTCCTTGCCCTGCACGTAGAAGTCGGTGTATCCTCGCCACCACATAGGGGGACCTTCCGCTACTTGATGTTTCTGATACCGCCAATTCCCCTTCTGGACGTAGGTTCCACCTCCAGAGATCTCCATGACGGTCCTCCGAGCCGACTTGAGTTTGTTCGGGGGAACTGGACACCCTCGTTGCAGCGAGGGCACAAAGCCCGAGACTCGCTCGGTTTGATGGACTCGCCGAAGAACACGGTGCTGAGGTACGTACTCCCAGTAGTCGTCTAACGGGGTCGTATGTTGCTCTTCCACCTCCTTCAGGTCTTTCGTCACGCACCATAGTCCAGCGCTGTAGGGCTCATCGTGGTAACGTTGTAGCCGCGGTCGAATCGGACCGTAGTTCCCCTCACCAGCGACCTCGGAGTCCGGGTTTGGGACGTCGGTCGGCGCCGCCCCAGTGGCTTCGCCGCTGACCTCTCTCTCCGGCTCCTCCAACTCCTCTCCAGGCGTAGACGATGAGCTTGATGATGATGACGTAGTGGACGAAGTAGAACTGCTCGAACCTGTCCCTGGTGTAGCACTTCCCGGACCATGTAATCGACGACGTCCTGCAGGTGGTTCTCCTTCCGCGAGCTCTTCTTCACCTTCCGGAGGATGTTCCCACTTGGAGATGTCTTTGAAGGCTCGCTTGCTGGATTTCCGCATCATCTCTATCCGCAGCTCCTCAAACTCGTCCCGCAGCATGCCGTGAGCCTCGTGTTCCACATTGGTTGCGAGCCTCACTTGCTCACAGGCGCATTTCCATAGCTCTCCTCGCATGGCGATCCACACATTGGGACCCTCCTTGGACACCACCACTCCGGGCCCCACCCAGACGGGCCTACGTAGTTCTCTAGCCTCAGGGCGCTCCTCTTCATCCCGGTTGCGCTTCCTAGGCAATGGCGTCCTGTACACATAGACCAAGTCCCCGGCCAGGAACTCCCTCACCACCCGTGGCCTTGCCTTGGATGCCCTGCTGATAGCCTCCTCTGCACTGCACCTGACGAACGCTTCCATTGCCTTTCTTCTCATCTCCAGAATCCTCCGAACTTGCTCTCCTGCTCCTGCAACAAGTAGTGCTGGGTCATACACGTCGTCACTGCCTAACGTTCCAGGCAGCCTCACATTCTCACCCAGCTGCCTCTGAGCGGGACTGAAACCGCTCTTGTGGTACATCCGATTCTTGGCCGCCTCCACTGCGAAGATGCAGGCTTTCCACTCCTCCAGGTTGCTTGGGGGATCTTCTTCACGAAGCTTGAGGAACACTAGCTTCGCCAGTCCTCCATGTCGTTCTGTCCTGCCTTGCTGCCACGGAGCCCTAGCTCCGATGGTCTTGTGAGCGCATCCCATCTGCATGAGCTTTTCCGCGAAGCTTCCCAAAAACTCTCGTCCCTGATCGCACACAATGATCTGGGGTACTCCAAAAGTCCGCATCCAGCTCCTTTGAAATGCAGACCAGGCGGCCGCCGAGCTCTTCGAATCCAGCGGCTCCAGCATCTGACAGCAGCTTCCCCAATCGATGATGTTCAACACCGGTTGAGCCTCCCTCGGATTCACTCCGGGAAAGAATACCACATCCACTCCCACCACCTGCCCTGGCGCAAGACATGCAGGTGGAACGGAAGGGCGTGCCGCCTTGGGACGCTGCTGTCCCTTGCAGATGTCACACTCGAACTCCTTCTGCGCGTATCTCCACACTGGGGTTCGTGCTCTCGCCAATCGCAGCATCCTCGAAAAGTCTGCATTGGCTGGATGTCCCATCTTGGAGTGCAACTCCTTTACCATCTTCTTGTCTCGCTCCGTCAGTCCTCGATCTGGAACTTCTCCAGATAGATCATCTGCTGCATGTGACTGCTCCTCATCGCCCGCAACGGGCATCTCCCTTGTCACACGCCCCTCTCTGGCCTCTGCAGTCTGCTCCTCCGCCTCGATCTCGTCGTCCAGATCGGGTTCCCCTGCGTTCTCTTGGGCAAACACCTCGATCTCGCGCGGGTGGAAAATGGTAACCAAAACTGGAGCAACTCCTCCAGGTAGACGATCAGCTCTTTGGGGTTCCCAAAGTACTCGACTTTCCAGCTCCTTCCACCCCTGCTCATCCCAGACCCAGCTGCTCCTCCATGGAAAATCGGCAGCAGGGGCCACTCGTCCTCCACCTTTGAACCTGGTTGCTGAAGGCGTAGACAACACCCACTCACCTCGCTCTGCTCGTTGCCATCCAGAACACCTGGCCCACCTTTCCAAATCCTCCCCCGTGGGCTTGGCCTTCTCGTTCTTCTGCTTGTCCTCGAACGCGCCCTTGACCATGGCCACGCAGAGTTTGTGAGGATATTCCTGGGCATGCCGGGCGAGACCATGTAGAAGCGGCACATGCTGATGACCACCATCGCATCTCTTGGAGAGGTACTCCTCCATCTTGTCGCCGTTGACCATGAAGTCCGTGCTCTTCTTATTGCTTCCGCCTCCGACTTGAAGTCCGTACATACATTGGTCTCCTCGCACTCGACGAACTCCAGGTAGTGACAACACTCGCTTCACCGCGGACTCGTGCCACGCCTTTGAGGTCGTTGGGTGCTCGAACAAGGCCAACCGGCCTCTTCGGACCTGCCACTCGAAGAGCTTCATGGCAAACTCCACGTGCTCGATGCCCTCTGCCAGCATCACAAATGCCTTCTTGGGGTTCATGCGGGGGTAGTTCCACTCCTGCAACGAAGAGAATGGCCCGCATGGAGGACATAGCACTAGTAGATCTGGATCCTCCGCCTCCAGCTGCTGCATGCACCTCCTCTTGTCTCCGTGATCGGTTAGATCGTATCCAGTGATCAGGTCGAAGGCGGTACCCTTGGACATTCCGAGCTTCGCAGCCGCGTTGGAGACCCGTGGAGGTGAAAACACTTCCGACACGACCATCTCGTTCATCTTCCTCGAGATCTTCTTTCGGTCCTTGCTGCGAAGCGTGCCCACATTCTCCTCCTCGTAGAAAGGATCCAGCATTTCATCAGCGAACACCCCGTAGACGTGCTCCTCGTTTCCAATGTGCAAAATGCCAGGGTGGAACTCATACTTCTGCACATCTTCTCTCCACTTCCAACACCCAGGCTTCACCCGCTTGGCGTAGTTCGGCTTCTCCTCATCCTCTATCTGCATCAGACACCATTGATTTTGGAGATTCGGGGTGGAGATCTTTTGGGCCCAGGGGGCATTCTCCACCTCCTCCTTGTCCTTCAGATGCAGTCGCTGGGCGTTTCCTCCGCCTGCATCGTCTCCGCGTTCTGGTTCACCTGGTCCCAGTGGCTTCGTAGTCGCTCCACTTGCTCCCACGCCATGGTCCTTGCCTGCGGGTCGGTCATGACTTGACGCATTCGCTCTTCTCCCATGGCCGCCGTCAGAAACATCACCTGTGATTGTAGAGCATGAACTTGGCTGGTGTGCGCCTCGGCTTGCTGTTGAGCCCAACCTTGAATCTGCTGCTGCTGGACCTGAATGATCTCCTGATAGCGCCTCTCCGCTTCTTGCACCACTTCCAGCTTCACCCGTTCCAGCCGTTCCTCCTCCATCTCCTCGAACTCCCTCAGCTGGCGGTTCCTCTTGAACGGGTCCTCCTTCAGCGGCTCCCACCAGAAGTAGTCGCACTGCCTTTGGACGCACTTCCAAAACGCTCTTCCCTGACGGGGTCCCTCCTTTTTCACAAGCAGCCTCTCTGCCGGCTTCGCGCACCGACACATCACTGTCGGTTCTGAAGTTGCCTCGATCACTGGCGGGGCTTTTCCCTGAGAGCGCTTCACCGGCTTGGTCTGCTCCATCTGCCCCTTCGTGAGTTGCCACCGCTGATGGCATCCAGCGCACCACACCTCTCGGGAGTATTGATTCCCGGCTCCCTTCAGCATCTCGGCAGAGTGCATGCACCGGCCACTCGTCACCTTCGGGGACTCCTTGCAGTTGCGTGGAGGCAGTGCAGGTGCGTCCTTGATGAGCTCCGCGTAGTGCCGCTGTTTGTCCGAGGCGACTTCGGGCTTGTGCTTGGGCTTGTAGAAGGTCCCGAAGTTCAACTCCTTGGGCACCGGTGCCGTAGAAGAAGAAGATCCAATAGAGACTCCACCGGATTCCTCGCCGAGTGCCCCTTGTGCTGACATCCGAGCGACGATGACAAGCATGTCGACGATCTGCTGCAGCACCACCCTCCAGTTCTTCACTGCCCGCTTGGAGTTGTGCACAAACTCCCGCTTCTCCTCCTTCTGAGCCTGGGACTCCGCTTGCATCTTTACGGCTCGCTCGAACAAGCTCATGGCTGTGCGTGAGAAAATGATTGGGCCGGTCAGTACCACTTGGAGCTGTCATGGCTGGGAAATGCATAGATCCACGCATTCCATGATTCTTCACTCTGAACATCTCTTCCAACCGGCCACGTTGCTGGGCTTGATAGGGGAGGATCCATCCGTGGTTCCCGAAGTTGCAGATGTCCATTCCGACATGACCAGTGGGAAGTGACACCAGCGGGGTTTGTTGCCCTTCTGCCCTCAACTGAAGATTCATCTCCTCAAGGTCAATCACTGCTTTCAGTTCCCTCAATAATGAAATGGGCAGCAACAAGGGAACCTCCTCCTTGACGACGGTAACCTCAAGTATCCCACAAACTCCCGCGCAACCCAACGGAACTTCCACCACTGCCACCACCTGTGCCTGTCCGCCAACTCCTCGTGCCCTCCCTTGCTTGTCCAACTTGTGGGGGCGAAGTCCAAAATGTTTGAGTTCTTCCTCAAGACGAGACAAAGCGGCTTCCCCTATAAGACCTCCTTGGGCAGCTGTGTCCACGATCCCGAGGTTTCCCTTCATGGTGAGCCCCACAAACGAACAAGCCGGCGGTTCTTTATTTTTCCGGGGCATGAAATCCGTGATGGAATAATCCCGGAGATACAGGCACACATCCTCTGGTGGACCGGCCGTCAAATAAAATCCATGCGGGCTACTGGCTGAAGCTCCCGGAGATGAGGAAGCGGCCGAAGACTTCAACCTGGACTTGGCGACCTCGTCCATTTCTCCACGGCACTCTTTGGCCCAGTGCCCGACTTTCCCGCACCTGGCACACCTGGTGCGAAGCTTCAGCATCTCCACGTGTACTCGAGCTCCTCGACCTTCACCAAACTTGCCCTTGCCCTTCCCCTTCGAGCCCTTGCCCTTGTTCATTGGAAAATAGCCTCTGCCATTGCGCTGATCCCTGATGGCCTTCCGCACCTCCTGGTAGGTTGCAAGCGCCTCCATGAGCTCCTCCTCTTCATAGATCTCGTTCAGATCTCCCTCGCCGAGGTACACATAACCGTCCTCGGAGCCATCTTCTTCTTCCGCCATGAACGTGCCCTCGTGCTCCCTCTCGTTCGTGCCCTCGAAACCTTCCGCAAGATAGTTGCGGCCTCCCTTCTCCTTCTGCACCTTCTCCAACTTCCGCAGGGCTGCAACCACCGTCTCCCGGTCATACTTTCCAGAAGTCCACGTGGTCACCTGATCCTCCTGGACGCTAGTGAGCGCCGCTTGCCGGAACATCACATAGCCTTTGACCTCTGTGGGCAGCTTGACACCCTCTTCCTGCAAACGCGAGAAGGCTGCCTCGACCCGGATGATGTACTCGCTCAACTGCTCCTTGCCCTTGCGCGCCTCTCCGTAGATGGCCCTCTCAAAGGCCTTAGGCATAGCGGTCTCCAAGTACGGCTGATAGTGCTCCTTCAGCTTCTCGAGGATCGCCTCTACACCTCGCTCCGAAATGATGAGTTCGATGGGCAACTCATCCACTGCATCCCTTGCGGGACCACTCAAACTCCGAAACAGCTTGGTGCCCTGCTTGTTTGGAACCACGTCCGTCTCGTGCCTCCAGAGCGCCAAATCACGAAGCCACCTTCGAAATTGCTCTGGTGATTCTCCTGCAAACTTGGGCGGCGGATCCCTGTCTCTGAATCCTTCGCCCGCTCGACCATCCGCACCTCCCTGAACCTCCTGAGAGGCTCCGCTGCCACTATGAATCTCCTGCGACATTGCGCCCTTTTCCCTTCACACATCTGTATGTGCCCCCTGGGCAGCACGAAGCCAAAATGGCTGAGTATATTCACACAGGAGAATCACTGCAATACCATGCACAGCGTTGAGGTCAAGGGCTGGTTTCTATTCACAATACCAAACACTCAAACCGGATTAACCACCAACCAGATAGCGCAGATTCATCCATGATCCACTTGGAAGTTCCTTTTGGAAGTCCCCTGCCAAACTGATAAGCTCAAAAACAAGCACACAAACAAACACACAAACACACGCACACACAGACACGCACACAATTGGGCATGAGTTTTGGTGCACCCTTTGGCGGACATCATTTAGGTGGGCTACGGATCACGCTCCCCAAGCACTGTTGAGGTGGGTCCCATTAAAAATTCCACACACGTCGCTACTCCAAAGCGCCTCCTGGCGGAGTCTTGGCCGCAGCCTGCAGAGGCGCAGGCCTTGGATTCGACTCAAATGCCGCAAGTGATCTTTGGAGTGGCGGGGAAATCATGCGCAAACAACAAGATGTTGATGTGGTTTCGAATAAGAAAAAGAAAAAACAATGTTCTTTTTGTTGTTACAAAAGAAACTGGTGCAAAGTCGGGCTGCGCGCTTTTAGATGCAAAAGAGTCCCGTCCGCAGCTGGTGAAACGAGATTGCTAATTCTGACAGCCGAACACTGCCCAGCGCACGGCCAATGCTTCTGCTCGCAGGGCGAGCATGCTCGGCTTTTTCAGGCTCATGGGCACACCATGCTCTTAAAAGTCCGACCACATTCTCCCAAAGTGCATGGCCAGACTTTCAACCCCTGCAAAAAGACGGCTCTTTCCAGGTCCTTTTGCCGGCTTGGGCGTTTTCCTGGCTTTTTTTGATGGGGGAAATCGTCGAAGACCAAGGCGTCTTATGCCTTTTGCAAAACGGGCAGCTGTCTGTCTGCCACTGGAAGCTGTGGTCTGGGCGAAAAAGGGCGGCGCTCGAAAAATGTTCGATCGATCGGCAGGCGGCTCTGAGTCCAAACGGGTCAGCGCGGCTTTTGTTCAGCCTTGGCAATCCATCAACTGTACCTGGCTCCCAAAAAGTGAAGCGGAGGAAACAAAACGGCCTGGTTCGGGTCTCGATATCTCTGGGTGCACAAGGGGCATAATGACCCAACAAAAACAACCAACCAAGAACGGATTGAGTTTTGGGGCTTGCAAACAGGGCATCCGCATCCTCAAACAAACACACCCACTGGCCACCTGCGAATCTGAGCGCCCGCCTGCAACCTTGCGATCAGCGCGGCTACCTAAGTGATTGTTCGGAAAGAACCAGCAGGTTTTTGTGCCCAAGGGAACCAAAACAGGGACTTCGGTCAGCCCCCCCAGAAATCAGACTTGGGGTGTTGAATTTGGCACCAAGTCATAGGGCACCACCTTCTTTTTCCGGAAGGCCGAAGCCGCGCTCCGGCGGAGGTTCTCCCGAAAGAGGTGGAATGCCCAAAGTGAGCCATCTTCTTTTGCGGCGAAACGGTTCCCCTTGGTGGCATTAAAGGGAAAAGAGGAAACCCGCGCCAGGTTGAAGGGTCCCCGAAAAAAGCCACGCCCTCGTGAGCTTCTGAGATCTTCCTGGCTTGGGTGACTTGGGTGGGGGGGGCAAAACGCCGGGCCCAACATCGACTCAGCGAACCCAGGGCCTGAGGGCGCGGCGCCACCTTCTTGGGGGCCCGCTTGACTCGGCTGTACGGTGAGATGGAGTCATCGAAGATGTACTTCAAGAGGGTGCCCACCCTCAGTGGCCAGGCTCCAAATAACCAGCGCCCAATGACTCAACGGATGGCAAGGGCTTCCTCCCGTAGCAAACATGGGGTGTGGCTTCCGACAAAGGCTGCAAAGCTTCCCCAGAATGGTTGAACATGAGGGTTCCAAGTCTCAGCACCCCTGTGATGGCAGTAAACCTGGGGCTGGGGAAAACATAACAAATGGGTGTGTCTTGGAATAGGGGAACCACCAGAGCGGGAACCCTCAAAAAGATCGACGGAACTTGAACGTCTGCTGCAAGGACTGCCATGCAGGTTTCGCGCCCAAAAACACCCAAGCCATGAAAGCCCCCCAAGCATCCACAGTCGCGATCATAGCGAGCGAGCCGCCACGAGTTGCATTGGGGCAAGTTCTCGTAAAACTCGGGAGCCATCTGTCGCACCTGACGCGAAGTGCCGAAGCGAAACGAGCGCTTCGGAACATGGAATCCCATTTGGGGGGGGGGGTACAAATGTTCAGAGCCCTAGGAATCAACGTGAGACTTGGGAATCGGAACCCCCCCCTTCCAGGGAGTCCAGCGGTCAAAGAGGCTGGCCTTTGGCAAGTTGCCCCAAGCGACGTTCGGAAAGTCGTGGTGCTCGTTGTGGTAGCCCACCTCACATCGCTTTTCTTGATGACCGTTGGGTCTGCCTTTGTCTGAGGGGAGGCCGGTAAAATGTTGAAACCCCCCCCCTTTCACGCCTTTTGATTTGGACAGTTGGGTATGCGGTATGCCTTTGTCTGGGGCCTTTTCTCACCCGACACCCATGCGACCACCATTTTGGGCTGGCCGGATCGGAGCGCCAAGGCCGCGGCATTGTAGGTCAGCCAGTTGAGGGGCCCATAGTAGGAGTACGTCTCTGCCTCGCCTCACCAGGGCTCGCAAAAGGTGCCCCAAAAACCCAACCCGTGTGGTTCTCCACAAGGAAACCCTCTTGAGTGGATTGCCCCAAAAAGCAGCGACCCGTCGACCCAAAATGTTTCAGGCAGCCAATCTTTAGATGAGACCTTAGTCCAAGGATGATCTGGTTTTACTCACCTATTTGTCTTAAATCCCGAGGGAGCAAAGCTAGGCCTTCCATGACATAGTGCTCGGCGATGAAGTGTCCGGCAGTCGGGTGAATCCTGCGCTGCCAATCAACAAAGAGACTCTAGGCGAGGGACCATCTTGCTTCTCCTGTCTTTGTTGTGTTTCTTCGTTCTTTTCATTTTTCCCGAATCACCCAACCTGCACTTGCTTATATTTTTTTCGGCCCAGAAAGGTTTGCCGTGGAGGTCACAAAACCAAGGCCCGGGGCTGGAGAAAGAAACATGCCCCGGCTCTCCTCGAATCGACGCGGAAGCACACTGAGGCTTGGGCGATCCAGCCAGGAAAGTGGAGCCCACCAGCCACAGCATCACCTGCGGATGTGTTGATCGGAAGGAACCCGTTTAAAAAATAATAATAGAAAAAACCATCCCGTTAACAAAAACAACATTTGAGGAAACTCGGATGGGGGATCCCAAACACCTGTCTGAGGTCCATGTGAATTTGTAGAGTAGGTGCAAGCTAGGGATACCCCGCAAGTTTCTCTGGTTTCCCTTTGAACCAACGACTTTCTGGGGCAATTACCCAAGACAAAAACGCATGTGGGGATATGTCTGGGTGTTGGGGGTCTCTCAAAGGAACCTTGGCGCACCAAGATGTGGAGCAAAAAGGAAAAACGCCAGGCGCATGGAGTTTGTCAGTGCCAACTCACCAAAATGCAGATGTGTCTCAACATGGGGACTTGGAATGCCATGTTGGCCGTCCAAAACAACACGTCCAGTGGCACTGTGCCCTCAAGCAAGCGGCCTGTGGCCCAAAGAAGTACACCATGAGGCCGTCGAACCTGAATTCACGGGCAGTCGGGGCTTTGGCGCGGCTATGGCTCTTCCTTTCTTGAGGCTAACCTTTTGGTGGTGTCCCTTTGATTTCCCTTGGAAACAACAACTACCGAAAGGATGGCCTCCAGGACCTGCCAAATTTGTGGGTGGCCTTTGATAGCCCCCAGAGGCCCCAGAATGATCCCCATGGGGCCCGGGAGCGCCACGAGAACTGAACCACGTAGTTGAGGACCATCCATGCCTGGCAGATCCCGAGGTCAAACCCAGGAAACGGGCGTGCCGATTTTTCTGCGGGCACCCCCGTTTGGCAGTTTTACAAGGAAACCAACATGAAAACACACCATTTTGGGAGGGTCCCCTAAAGACACACCCAAGTATTGTCTCGTGGGGATGGTTTCAAGGAAGTGACCTGAAGCCAACCGACATAGTATTGACGCATAGCCAGATTGATCCTACGTTGAATCTCCGAGTTGGGCGCATCAGCAGCCACCAGAGAAGGCTTGATGAAGGTTGGTCGCAGCCTCAGTATGCTTGCAAGCGGCACAGCTATAAACGCATCACGACGACTTTGCATGTTGGGCATGGTTGATGCACAGTACTTAGATGATTCATGTGCAGACAAGACAGGCTGCGTAGCAGGCTAAAGCAGCGGCAAGAAAAGGGATAAGAGCATGAGTGCATGTGAATGACCTCTTCATTGTTTGTGAGAAAGGGTGGGGCTTGATGCCGAGGAAGCAATTGAGAAGTATAGCCATTCAGGCCAGCGAGTATGCAAGCAAGAGCGCAATGAGTTAGAAACGATGGCTGAATGGCTGATCGGAGCTTCCATTCCATTGGTTTCCTTCAGGGTCCCGAGGAAACAGAAGGAAAACAACCCCCATTTCCGAGATTCCCCCTGAAACAACACACGCCGAGCGCCCTGCGCATAGAAAAAGATCTGGAAGAACATGAAGACCGCCTGGCCAGCGGCCAGGCGGAAAATCTATGGCGGAAAAAGTCTCCGGCTGGGCGCCTTCCGACAGGTGCGGTCGACGTAGCCTGTGGAGGTGTCAGTGAGGACCCACCTCGCGGTCCGAGGGATCGCTTCGGCCAACTCTCAGCTGGACGCGCAACGGAAAAAAGGCGCCCGTAGGCAATGCGATAACTACGCTGAGAGACAAGCAAGGCGTGCAACTCAGGGTGATGTTGCAAGTCCAAGCCAACCCCACCCACCTGAAACCTGCACTCCCCCCAAACTAGAACTAAAATGTGTTCTTATCAAAAAAATAAGACACAAAAATCATAGAGAACCCTGACACAAACGCAGGGGCTTCCGACGTTACAAAACCACGGTGAGGGGAGCTCCGATGTTTCTTTGTGCAGCTGAGGTACCCTTCCAAGCGGCTGGGAACATCCGTGTCCACTCCATCTTGCCCCTGGTAGCGATGGTGCCTGCGTTTCGCCAGGCGGTTGCCCATTTCTATTGGAAGTCGAAGTTAGGGATCCGCAGTGACCGAATGTCATGTTAAAATGGGTGTGGCTCAGAAATGGGGGTCCAAAATGGAACCTGGTAAATGGACAGGTAGACTGAAACCCTCGCAACCCCAGTTGCTTAATTTCGAGCCACACCCAAAATCTGGAAACCACCTGGACCCGAAAACCCTGTCACAGGCCGGGCTCGCTCCATGTGGTACCTCAGACCCGGTGGCTCGCGTTTCGCGTTCGCGGAGGCGCGTTTTGGAGGAATTCGCGCGCATGGCAGGCTGAGGGCTGCGGCGGTTTGAAGTTGATGGCATACGGGATGCCCTGGGCTCAAAATTCGGATGGGTATGTCTGTT